TGTAATTATGTAACATTATAATTAGTATAGCTAAAGGACAATGTAACTACATAACAATATAATCAGCTCAGGTCAAAGAGCTGTATTCATGCAATAAGTAAAGTATTTTAAAACTTTATAATTTACCTGATGTTAGAATTTTCTTTTTACCCATTCTTTTGTGATGCCAACTTATTACAAAAACATAATTACTTTGTTAGGAACAAGTTCTCTGACAACAGTGTCCAAAAGCAAACATTTATATCAAAACTTTATTTGTTTCTTTAGAAATCTAAACTGAAAAATGAATGGGACATTGATAGTGACATCTCCGTAATCAGAGAATCACCTGATGCCTAATGAGAGAAGAGCATGCAGTTTGCTTTTTTAATTTGACAATATAATACGTGTACTTTTCAATAGAGTAATGAGGTGTGATTCAAATATATATTCATTATGAATATTACATTATTATATTTTGATAACTGTCCATCCTACCACATCAAAAGAATGCTCTTATTTGTAAGTATACTATTTGAATATACTTGATATTGAATTTGATATACTCATTTGATTCACAAGTCTCTCATGTTAAAGTTTTTCACTACAGGATTGGTAAATTAATGGAATTTGTATTTAATGTATTCTCATAAAATATGACAAGGTACTAATCTTTACTTCAAGTAGTTATGCCTACCACAAGTTAATGCTATAAGACTCCTCTTTAAAATAATCTTGATTATATTTTTAGAAATAGGATTGATTTTTTTTTTTAATTATACAAATTAACATCATCAAATACTGATTTTGCTATTATTAGGTCTAAAACAATGATGACGCCTTTCATCATGTGATGATGTATTTGCATTTGCTGTTGTGTGGCTGGTAAGCTAAATGTGTTCATGTGATGAATCGTCTAAAAATATAGGAAGTAGCACAATTTTTCTAGATTCACACATCCTTACAGGATATAATTTGATTATCTGATGTTTAAGTACTTAGTTACAATACCAATATTGTGCACATAATAAATAATAGATAGATAAAAATTGTGATAGGTTTTTGATTTACACATAATATATATATTTTATAATAAGTTTGTTTGAGACTAAGAAATGTGAAAATATATTATGGTATTTTATTCTACACCATTTTTTTCTTCATAATATATATTATACTGCTAAATATTTGTGATACTAGTATCATTGCTTGAGTATTTGCTCTTCACCATTTTTATACTTATTATTTGTGAGATGCAGATGTTAACAAGATTGTGTAAGTTTTCTTCACTTGCATGATATGTAGGACAAAATAAAATGAATAAATATACTGAAAAACATACCATGTGTTTGTGTTTACTATCAACCTAAAGAAAAGCTTCAAGCCAGAGGGATATATATATCATCTCAGTACATTTAGGATACTACATTTTTGCTCTTCTCTAAAACAAAGTAGTAACATTACATGAACATTTGCTCTTCATTAGAATAAAGTAGTATAATTACATGAACATTCACTCTTAACTAGAATAAAGTAGTATAATTACATGAACATTCACTCTTAACTAGAATAAAGTAGTATCATTACATGAACATTCACTATTAACTAGAATAAAGTAGTATCATTACTTGAACATTCGCTCTACACTAGAATTAAGTAGTATCATTACATGAACATTCACTCTTCACTAGAATAAAGTAGTATCATTACATGAACATTTGTTCTTCACTAGAATAAAGTAGTATAATTACATGAACATTCGCTCTTAACTAGAATAAAGTAGTATAATTACATGAACATTCGCTCTTAACTAGAATAAAGTAGTATCCTTACATTAACATTTG